ACATCATCGAACTTAAATACAAATATAAAGTAATTTACAAAATTAAATCAAATCAAAGTTGGACGACTAACACGAAACAAATTCGTATGTCAGACTAAAATCTTGCTTAATTTAATATTTTTTGAATTTGTTAGCTTGGTACCCGTTTGATGCACATTTTTCACTCCCAATAATGCATTTTCCTTTCGAATCACGTGGGCCCCAAAACTAACACTTTTGTTCATTGCTCCCTGAAATGATATGCTGAATTATTATAATCCCCGTCTGCCTTATTTGAAAATTGGGAGAGTGAGCATGTAGAAATTGAATGAGGGGTAGAATGGAGATTGTGTAACCATGCATTGAAAAAAAAAAAAGTGCACAATTTTTGTCAGACCAATTACTATTGCAACGTTCCGAAATTTTCTACAAATAACCAAAAATTTGCATCAAGCAGGACGACAAGAAAAAGTAATGTGTCGATAATTTCCAGAGGAACAAAAAAAAAAAAAAAATTGATTTAAGTGAAGAAAAAAAGGGAATTTTTACATTTTCGACGGAAGAAAAGAAAAATGACAGATATCTCAACTGAGAGATCGTTGCGTTTCTTGGTGTTATGTTCTTTAATATTTTTACAATTTATTTCAGGTAATTTCCTGGATCTCTAACTTTTTTTTTTTAAATTATGTTTTATTCGAGAGTTATGCTCATATTTATATGCATTTTGCTTGTATAACAATGATTTCGTGCTCCAATTCGAGTAATTGGTTTGCTTTTAATAACTGAATTAACTTTAATATTGTAGTTCCGCTTAAAATTGTTTGAGTTTTTTGGGTCCAATTTGATCGATCGGGTTCTCTTGTTATTTGAAATTTCAGTGTTTTGAAAATGGAAGTTAAATTGAATTTCATTTTTCTGGTTTCGATTGGAAATTTATTATTACCTGCAAACAAAACGAAATCAGTGTTGGGACAATTGGGGGAAACAAATGAGTTCTTGAAAAACCTAAATTTGTTATTTGATACTTGAGAAAATGATAGAAGAAATATGCATATACAGGAGAGCTAAAATTTTAAGAATGGAATATTTCTAGGTTTAATTTCTGCTATAGAAGAAAATAAATATTTGAAGCCTTGTATGGTTATTCTTTTCCTTGTTTATCAGGTTTTTATCACAAAATCATAGAAACTAATAAATTTGCAAGTAGGTAATCCAATTTAGCAATATCGTCAATGGTTTTACACTAGCAATGCGGACTGGTTGCTTGGTATAGAAACTTTTGGATTATTGGTAATTCACATGATCGAAGCTTTCAGGCTTTACATAAAGATGAAGCGAGCAGACACGACAAACAACCTTGAGCACTGGAGTCTCGTAACTTTCAACATTTTTTCTACTGTTTTTCTTGCATTTTGAGATTTTTGATCTATAAAGCACTCATTTGGCAGTTTTTTTTTTTAAACATATTCTCATGATCCAAACCAGGGGATGGGAATTTCTTCTCTGGTTTTCCTCCTTTATAGTGGGCTATATGATTTGAGTTGCGTTGTACTCCATCAGGAGCTGAAGGTGTAACTCCTTTAATTCTAGCTTCATACATGGTGTGGATAAGTTGCTAGTGCTTGGAAGAAGTCATTAACTATTGTTGAGTTGATAATTAATACAGCCCCAAAAGGCCTTCTTATAAATTGGTTTAATTAGCTGAAGTTTTTATCATACAGCAAATTCTGTGTGGTGCTTTGATCACACTGAATGTACAATGTTTTGTCTCTATCTCGGCTTTTTTGGTTGTTGGGCCGTCGGGCTTTTCTCCTAATAAATACTTCCATCTTAATTGAAAGCATAAAATGACATTTGTTCTGTCTGTCTAATTATGTCAGCAAGCTTTTGTCAAATTCACTCCCTCTTAGACATGTTCTTTCCATTCAGGCTATTCAGATGATTCATTGAGTCCCAAAAATGGGGCCAAAACTGAGTCCCGTTCTCCTCATTCTGGAGGCAACACGGGATCCAGGGTAACGATTATAAGTCTGGTGCTTGTCGCAGCTGTGCTTTTATCATTTTTCCTTTTCAAGTTTTGGCAAAAGAGGAAGCGTGACGAGCAGTATGCTCGTTTACTGAAGTTGTTTGAAGAGGATGATGAGCTTGAGCTTGAGCTTGGTCTTCGTGATTGAGCGTGCTTCCTATTTGTACATCAATCTTATTAAGGTGGGACTCCTCTCTCTGTCTCTGTGGTTCAGATTCTAGTTCCAAAGGTTTGTGCTGTACTTTATATGTGTAGTTAAACAGGGGACTTTGAGGTGAACTACCCTTCTCGTATATGCCATCAATATATGTTTTGTTTTCATGACTTGCTTGTATATTTTAACTGATGACATCTGATTTATCAGTGCAGTGTAGAAATAACCGTGATGACACAAAGGCGTATTGTATCTCATGTTTCTCTAGTCATCTTGCATGAATAGATGTGTGTAAGTTTGTGTAACTGTGTGTATTGGTTTGCATTTGTTATCAAAAACGGATATTGGACACTTACAAGGCTCTTCTCTTCGACTTCTTTTCAGGTCACTAGAACATGTTATTAGTATGTTTTGAATCTCTTTAACTCCTTTTCTAGGTTACTGATACATTTTATTAGATTGTTTTGAATCGAGCAAATGATGCAGAGACAACGAAATGAAGAATATTATCTTTATCATAGCAAGGTTGGTATTGATAATGACAACAATAAAAATATTTCACGATAAAATGTCATTAATACACTACATATTAGGAGAGAAAAAGTCAAAAAGAGGTTCATTCTTACTAATATACCATAGCTACACATTTTTGTTTTCCCATAAACTAAATTGTGTAAAATTGATTGTACATTTGCTGTTGTTGATTGGTTAAAAATGTATATACACTTTTTTGACAATCTTGTGCTGTTTGGTGTTCTGGAGTACTTGGATGTATCACTCGGGATTCACTGCAACGCTGTTACTGGGATAATAGATGTAGAACTTAGAACATTTTCATCTATCGCTTTGCTTTAATGTCTTATAATCTGATTTTTTGCCGGTCTTGTTCTGCATTATAAAGTTATTTTTGCTTTTTTAGGTTGGCATGCTGAAGTTTTGAAACTTTTCGCACCATCTTTCAACTGCAGCTGATGTGATTTGGGCAAGAAGAGTGACGTCGTGTGGTGAAGGCCAAAATTTTCAATTCTAGGTTGTAGCTTGTGTAACAATATAATTGAACCTGAAAATTTGAAGCATTCTTTTTGAAGTATTCTTGTGGAGGTTTGCTATAGACTAGAAGATGATTACTCTTATCAAATGTTCAAAGTTTCAATTTATGAGTGCCTATTTGTATTAACAAAACAAAATTTCTGGTTTATATTTGTGCAGCTCATTGATTCTTTTGAGAGAATGGCAGCTAATTTGTTACGAAAAATATTGTATTCCAGTTCTGTTCGGACAATTTCTCAAAATTTTCAATCTGATAAAGGTTCTTTTTTATCTATTACAATATACCAGTTTTGTAACGTTCAAGGCACGTCTTGTACGTGTATTAATTATATAATAGTGTATGTATAATTAAGCTTCTATTGGGTAGAAATTGAAATTTAGATTTTAATCTAAGACAATAATTAATTTTAATCATATATTTTATGAGATATAAAATTTTTTAACCACATATTTCATTAACTTGTATTAAAATTTGCTAAAAATTTGATTTTAATTCTCATCAAATATGGGCTAAATATTGTGACATTTGAAAGGTAGTTTTTCTTTAATAAATCAATCATGCCGCAGTAACATAATGATTGACATAATGTCACGTGACATCTCATCATTGGATTGTTTGAAATACAATCAACATTCTCATCAAATCATCTGCTGTCAACTGAGATTATGTTATTGCATCCGTTACAATTTTTTCTGTCAAAGTAGCAAAATCCTTAATAAGTAAATGGGATATTTTTAAACTGCACTTTAGTGTATCAGGTATTCGAAGGGTTATAAGGAGCAGACCAACGCAACACATTGATTATGTTCAAACATCTATGGTCATAAATTATAAAATAAGTGGATTGCACGGGCAATTTAGCGATGTATTATAATTATGTATTTAATAGCTTGAATGTATTGATAATGTGATGAAAGAACGAACTGTGCTATTCTCAAGTTCTCTCAGAGATCGATTTCCCGAGTCAGCTGAGCCCGCACCCTCTGCTTAGGTGCCTGTTTCGAAGGGAGCTTTTGAAGAGTCTTCGTCTTGCCCACTTCAATAGTAAATGTCAAAGTAGCAAAATCCTTAATAAGTAAATGGGATATTTTTAAACTGCACTTTAGTGTATCAGGTATTCGAAGGGTTATAAGGAGCAGACCAACGCAACACATTGATTATGTTCAAACATCTATGGTCATAAATTATAAAATAAGTGGATTGCACGGGCAATTTAGCGATGTATTATAATTATGTATTTAATAGCTTGAATGTATTGATAATGTGATGAAAGAACGAACTGTGCTATTCTCAAGTTCTCTCATAGTTAGATTTCCCGAGTCAGCTGGAGTGGACTTGAGTTTGATTAATATTTTTGTCTCCACTCGAAAATTTTGTGTAAACGTGCATAATCCATCACAATTTGCCCAAAAGACCAAATACCGAAACCAACAACTTTTTGCAGCTTCTATTCTGAACTTTAATTTCGAGATCTACAAACCAGAAGAACGTACTGAAATTAAATTTAGCTAGAAATAGCAGAGCATTTGATACAAGTTCAATGGTTATTCTCTTTGTTAAAAAAAAAAAAAAAAGAAAGTGCTGTAGCTTATTTGTTGGTTAAACGCACTAAAAGATGTTCTTTATCAGAATTTATCATGTATGCTTTACCATTAATGTTCATCTCCAACTTCAATCTAAAACTTACTTCCTGTTATGTGCACGAAGTGTCAAATTTTAATTCTTGGCTATTCAATGAATGTGTATGTAAATGCTTAGCCAGTATTGTACATTATTTTTGTCTTTTCTCTTCAACTGTCTCCAGCTATTATGCTATCCCATGCCTTCGTCCCACTGGCGCCATGCCGGGGGCTCAAGAAAAGAGGGCTCGTGGCAGGACTCCCTCTTCTGTCTGAACAAGGATTGCACTCTTCATAATGCTTGCATTTGGTGCAACACCCGCTCCCTCGTCTCTGCCTCGAAGCGGAGTAGAAGTACTGAGGAGCTTGATCTGTTTGGCACCTTACTCCCTCAGCCCGGCCTATAGACCTGACTGAAATGAACCTTTCAGGTACGACATTTCTGCTGAGATCGACTGGTAGTTTAGGATATTGGTAGCAAGGGTGGTGAGGTTGTCTATAGTTACAGTAATTGCTGTTATGTTGAACATTTAAGCTACATATATTAGGTGAGCTTCTTACTTTGTGCAGATGGCTTCTGCCATTATGGTTATTGCTAAAAATCATTGTTTCATTGTTTATTGTTTCTGCAGTGTAGTTCTCTGGTGATCTCGGGGACGAGCATGCCGAGGAAACAAAGGAACCGTTCTGTGTAATGTTGATGGTTCGATGTTGTTTTATGCCAGCTGATGTTGTCCTAATTATGCCATTGATGGCATCAATATACCGTTGCTCGAGGGCATGGGGTTCCATAGTGCCTATCTGGTTCTCCATTACAACAGGAGCTGCAGGGAACAGGAAGGCTCGAACACTTGGGAATTTTGCACTTCCATGGCGATCACACTCGTTGAACATGTGGCGTAGATCTTCATCAGATTTTACGGAGACCAGGGCATCGAGTTCCTCAGGCACCAGCTGATACTTGAGGATCATTTCTCCATCAATCAGGGATGTGAGCTTCTTCATAAGTTCTGTACACAATCACACGTGATCTTGATTCTTTTTTAGAAAGATTTCATTTTATTTTATTTTAGGCAAACAAATGTGGCCTAAATTTGCTGACTCGTAGATTTTCTTGAACATATTGCAATTTCATCTCCCAAAAAAAAAACCCACAATTCAGAAAAAACAAACCCCATCATAAAGAATTCACAACTTTGTACCAATAGACTCATTCAAGAGAAATGGGAATTCGATACAGAAAAAACATGGTGTATATGTATGTGTACCTTGGAAAGCAATGTCTCTAGGCACGGAAATGACACGGGTCTCGCCACCAACGTACTTCAGGTGGCCGTCGGTCGGCCTGGGAAGAATCTTCCCTCCATGGCTACACAAGAATTTCACCCGATTCCTAGGTGAACCGGGGTTGGAACTCGGTGCAGAACCACAAGAAAGAGTTTCCTCCACATTGTTACCTTCTGTTGACATGTTGAGAAATTGAGAATGTCTGGTTTCAAGAAAGGAAGTTTTAGGGGGGGGATGAGAATGTGGATGATTGGTTTTTGGATGTTAGAAAAATTGTTGGATTGGAGGAGGATTTTCGATGCTATTTAAAGACAGAAAAAAATGGATTAAATTCATTCAATTTCCATATCTACAAAAGCCACATATTTCTCTTACACATCCAACCAATACATTAAGTCTGAATATTCCTTCTAACCCATCATTACCTGTGGTTTAGGGGAGGAATGGATTTTAACTTTCCTTGCATGCTTGATTCTGAGAAACCTGACATTTTCTTGCAATAGAAGAATATTTTTACGTACATATCAGTTGATAATTTTATTGTGTTTCTTTGAATTCTAGCTTTGAACCATGACATTTTCTTAATTAAAGGTCCTGGCTGTTTCTTTGACAGGTCAGTGATTTCAAAGGGGGAAATTAGGGCTGGCTTTCCAACCCTTAGGAAGCGTGGTTTTGGCCCTTTTAGGTTCCAACCTTACAAGGGAGGTTTTGGATTCTCTATAAATCTTGATCTCTACGCGGTTTTAGTCGTCTATATGAACTTTACAATCGCAAGTGACTTTCACGTGACTTAAAATTAGATGTTAAGTAGTTTGATGATTTTTCTCTCAGCTTGAAGTTGTGAAACAATATGTGCAATTTTAATGTCCATATTGACTGTTTTCGTCAAGTGAGAATCCAATTTCACACACATTTAAATAGGTTGAGGACCCAAAACCACACTAATTGAAATGTTAGGGAGCCAAATCCTAATTTCATCATTACAAAGAGCACATATATCTTCCATAATGTAATATTTACTGTGCTCTTGTTTGACGGGGATTAAAATTACACTTGTATGAATTTTGATAAAAGTTACTAAAATATGTGGTTGAAAAGTTGTGAGTCCCATGAAATATGTGATTAAAATTAATTTTTGATTTTGACTCTTAGATTAAAATCTAAATTTTAATTTCTATCAAAAAGGGGCCATATGTTCTCCGAAAATTATTTGAGTTACGAATTCTACATAATAATGAGTTTTTAATCTATGTGCAATTAGAACTTAGAAGTATATAAATACAACATGTCGATTTTGTGGGATAAATAGATAAACATTATTCAATTAATTCTCATGCTAGAGTAGTTGCAGGGTAACACAAGATTATTTGGTACGTAATATTAAACTATGGATAAGATTCATTCCAAGCACCAACATCAATTCATCTTTGTATGATAATGGGATACAGAAAAATTCGAATTTTTACATGGTAGTCTAAGGTAATGCAAAACTATGTTAATGGGAGGGCCAAGAGACAGCTTCCCTTTGACAAGGCAGTGGAGCAGGTTGAACAATGAAAGTAGGACACTGCTGTCCTGGCATAATTAAAATTGTGAAATTTGATGCGTCTGATGTTTGTACCTGACAAAAGAGACAACCTCATTAGGTTCAATCAAAAGAAGAGATTTGCTACACCCACAACTTTTCAATCAAACATTTCATCAATTTTTATCAAAATTTACTAAAAATCTTATTTTAATCCCTACCAGACATAAACATAATTTTATTTCCGCATTGGGTAAAACTCAACACTTAAATGGACGTGAAGGGAGGCCAAAGTGGTTATAAGCCACAAGTCAAGCCCTAACTTGGTGACTTGGGACACAATTACAGACATCGCACAAAGAAAGACTATGCATGTACGGAGGAGGGAGAAGAGTAAAGAAGAATACTCACTGTTTCTTGATCTCCAAGTTTCTGCATTTGTGTCGAATCCGATTGGCTTCTGGCGTCATCCTCAGATGCGTTTGTTGGCCTAAACAGATGCTCAACTATAACCATGATAACAAACATTAATATCAAGATTAATGTTGCAACAAACCCAAAAGAAATCGCATTCGTAGATGAGTTAAAATTGTTCCATGAACTTTCTCTGTTATCTGAACTTGTATAGATGTTCCCTTCCTTTGTTCTGTCTGAATTGAACATGCTCATACCTACTATGTGGCTTAGTTTTTGGCCCCGGGGTTGGGAGAACTCTTAAGTACTGTTTGTTTTCTGTTAATCAATTGATATTAGGTCATTCTACGCTCGACTCTTATTGAAGTTGGTTCGTTAGAGGCACGTATTTCTTCTTTTCATTTGCACGGATTATTGAGTCCTGCTAAGAGAAAAGTGTTGGGCAGTCGAAATAATTTCGAAATACAGATATCTATGGGATTGTCCCGGAAGAAATACTGGACACAGTATCCTGGAGTCTACCTTATCGAACGAACCATAAAAGTGAAAACGAAGAAGTATTTTTAACAAATTTGGTTAAGTAATAACTTAAATCTAACATCTCTTGAATAATCAGAAGTTCCCAGCTGGCATCATAATGTAGATGTGCTTCTTGTCTATCGTTTTCTTGAATTTTTTTCTGCATAAACATATGCAGAAAATGACCAATGCAAATGCAGACTAATAAACTTCTGATAAGTGGTAATCTTAGTGTGGATCCTGATGATGATCAATTCTTGAAAGGGTGCTAAATATGGAAACATCAACACAACAGACGAAACAAAAAGAAGCCTTTTTACGAAAGAAATTTGGGTTCCGGCTACATAGATCCTGTTTCGCCACTCTTCAATGAATTTCTAGGCCTATTGAAATATCTAGATCCTCATGGCCACGTTAGTTTGAGTCGACCCCTCCCTCTTCTTACCCCAACAATCTAAACAAACTGATGTACAAAATCAAGAAATCAGATAATTCCCAGAAATGGGATACTAGAGACACACCTGCAACTGCAATGCTTTCATTAAAGCATAATTATCTTTGATTTGGAGCAATTTCCTTGGATTTCAGTGCATTTTGCCTTTTGTCCCAAGAACAAGGCATTTGCATATATAATATATTCAAGCTTTATACAGGATATACAAGTGCAACTCAGTCTAGATATATTCATACACAAAATGTAAAGTAAAAGTTATATATAATAACCTTAGTGAGTACGTTTTTTTGTGCTTTGATGCTGATAATCTTGATTCTTAACTTAACAAATACTCTACCTTGTCTGAAGAAACAAAGTTAAAGAAATCAATATACAGACATTTGTGTCGGGTTGAGGGAAAAGAGAGTGCCTTGGTGTTTCCAAAGCATTCAATGTTGAGATGCCATTGGATCCAAACCTAGTTTCTCTAGCTCAATAAGAAGTACAGAGAAATGTGAGGAGTGTCATGAGCAATTTTATCAGACGAGCACGTGTAATGCATGCGAGAGTTGGGTTCATTTTATGCGTCATCCCCGTAAGGTTGAAGTGTCAATTCTACAAAATGATTATTAGATCTGATATATGCTTTGTTGGACCCAATATCGTTAAGATGAACGCTACAGAATTGAGGATGTTACTGTGAAAGAAGATGAACATCAATATAACAATGTCGTGTTTAATTACTAAGAATCTAATTGGTTTAAATAATCGGTAAAGGATATATGATAAGTGTGTTTTTATACATTTATTTAATACCTAAACAAACTTATTATTGATTAAAATGAGTGGATTTTTACTCACAATTAGGTAACATTTGCTTTTATAGGCCAAAAATCATCTATGAAATAGAATAAGGCAAACGGAGTGAAAAAGGGATCAAAAGTGCACAAAATTGTGAAGTGGGGGATCAAATTGATCAAAGAATAAAGTTTGAGGACTCACGATGCAATTTATGGAGGGCATAATCGAAATGCAAATAAAAATTTGAGGACCAAGATGTACACATTCATAGTTTGGGGGACCTAATGTGAAATTACCGGAGGGCTGTGCTGCAATATTTCGAAAATTCACAACATGTGGATCATTTTAATTATTTTTTGAAAACCCAGGGACCCAAGTTGCAATTTCCTCTAGGTTTTGTTTTAAAATTGGACTTTTTCTTCACAGCTTCTTCCTTCTTTTTGGTGTCGGCTGGAACGTTTCTTGCTGTTTTTCTTTTTTTTTTTCTTTTTCTTTGTTTTCTTTGTTTTTCGTTTGTTTTACTTGGTATTTTGGAAATCAATCAAAGAGCACAAGGAGATTCAACATA